GAATCAATATTTTTTAACAAGTGATATATAAAACAAATCAATGTTTTTAACAAGTGATATTTAAACGAATCAATATTTTTTAACAAGTGATATATAAAACAAATCAATGTTTTTAACAAGTGATATTTAAACATATCAATATTTTTTAACAAGTGATATTTAAAACAAATCAATATCTTTAACAAGTGATATTTAAAACAAATCAATATTTTTTGTCACTGTTTTCTTATTTTGTTTTTTGTTTCAAAATTCATTGATATTTAATAGTTTAAGATATAAATGAAATTAAATCTGTTTCAGTATTGTCTTTAATAAAACTTAGTCAATTCTTTGACAAATATATGTTGTACTTTGTCGTAATTTTAAGCAACTTTTAAAGCTATCTTTCTACGATAATTTATACTATATTTGAATTCTATAAAAGCGTCATGTAAGTCACGTGACTCTGTGGGATTCTCAGGTGTAAATTAAAGGAAAAGTGATAATAAACCTAACAATGTTCTGTAACCACTGGTTACTGTTGTAGAACAGTGTACTTTCTAAGTAGTGTTTACTGTCACAAGTGTTCTTTTGAGGAACTGAACTAACTTCCATGAAATTTGGTTGAGGATCTAGAGTTGACGTTCTCCTCCTCCTCCCAAACGAATGAAGATAAGTAATTGGACGAACTATTCGAGTAAGACGGCCGAGAGCAAAAGGAAAAGTATATTTAATGCTACGCGTGTAACGGGTATCTTTACATCAAACGAATGGTGCATGTGATAAGGCTCAAAATAGTAGAAAAGAACGGCCCATGCCACCATTCGCGTCTTCACTTTTTAAATCCAGTATTGCCCTGTATCTTTTTTTAGTAGTACTTTATAGACTTAAGCCTTTTATAGTGATTACTGTGTTTAAACAAGTCATCATCTCGGAGATACGTTTTGTATGTACACATAATTTATTATCATTTTATTAAGGTCATCTTTAAGCTATTACGTAATCAATATTATCTAAAAGAAAACTTTATGTTACCTTTCTATTTGTGCACTGCAACATTAGCATCAGATGTGACCAGTTTTTCAAGATTGAAGAAGTGAAAAATGCGCGTGCTGTGGATCCGAATGTTCATGGTTCACGACCCGTATAACCTCGTTCCGCACTTTGGGACTGTGGATGCGTTATAAGTGTGACATTCAGGACCCACTGTTCGAGCCTACAGAATACCCCAACAGTTGGCGGTGGTTAAACTGCCTTCCCTTCAGTCTATTAGTCCAAAATTAGGGACGGCTATACGCAGATAGTCTTTTTGTAGCTTTGCGCGAAATCCTGAAACAACCAATCAAACCAATACACCAAGTGAAACAACCAATTAAAAGTTAGATGATGGAACGAACTTCTCGTTTTCTAAAGTTTTTTTTCTCTCTTTTCTTCTTCTTCTTCTTGTCAGATATATTGACCTTGTATCTGTTTTTACAAAACGTAAGTTTATTGTACTACTTACTCACTACGGTTTAGCTTTTACAAAACGTAAGTTTATTGTACTACTTACTCACTACGGTTTAGTTTTTACAAAACGTAAGTTTATTGTACCACTTACTCACTACGGTTTAGTTTTACAAAACGTAAGTTTATTGTACAACTTACTCACTACGGTTTAGTTTTTACAAAACGTAAGTTTATTGTACTACTTACTCACTACGGAAACCGTAGTGAGTAAGTAGTACAATAAACTTACGTTTTGTATAAAGACAGTGACATTGAGAATGCACACGTGCACACGACAATGACATTGAGGATTCACACGTGCACACGACAGTGACATTGAGGATGCACACGTGCACAAGACAGTGACATTGAAAATGCGCACGTGCACGACTAAGGTAACCATGGTCGTAAAGGTAGAAGAATAAAGTAACTAGAGTGTAAAAACTGTGTGCACGTGTGAATCCTCAATGTCATTGTCGTGTGCACGTGTGAATCCTCAATGTCATTGTCGTGTGCACGTGTGAATCCTCAATGTCACTGTCGTTGCACGTGTGAATCCTCAATGTCATTGTCGTGTGCACGTGTGAATCCTCAATGTCACTGTCGTGTGCACGTGTGCATCCTCAATGTCATTGTCGTGTGCACGTGTGAATCCTCAATGTCATTGTCGTGTAACAACATCTACTTCCAACACCTTCTTGGCCAGGTGGTTACGGTGCTCGACTCGCAATCTGAGGGTCGCGGGTTCGAATCTGCAGGCTTACGACGCTAAAAACCAGGTTTCGATACCCGTGGTGAGTAAATCACAGATAACCTATTGTATAGCTTTGTGCTTAACTTCAAACAAACAAAATGAAGACCTCCAGTGGCTCAGTGGTAAGTCTGCAGGTTTACGACGCAAAAAACCTGGTTTTTGATACCCATGGTAGACGAAGCATAATTATTCCATCGAATAGCCAACATAACTCATCTGATATTGAGCTACTCAAAATTGACTCCAAGAGAGAACATAGAGTTAGGCAGTAACGATCGTAACTGTTGTATGTCTATTACAAGTGCCTTGTTAACAAATATATTTCATTTCTACAGCGGACCAAAAACGGCCAGATCCACCTTGTAATCTGGAGACCATCCCTAATGTTGACTGCTTCCCTTCCCAGCGCCATCGTTGGAATACAAACGAGGTAAGAAAATATGAACTCCCTAAATTAAGGTTTTAGGGCCTAACTGTAAGCATATCATTAGTTTCGTTCAAACATTCTTCATGTTCAGTGTTTTTAGTTGTTGTTGTTGGTTTACTTGAACGTTCTTCATTTACAGTGTTTTTAGTTGTTGTTGTTGGTTTACTTGAACGTTCTTCATGTACACTGTTTTTAGTTGTTGTTGTTGGTTTACTAGAACATTCTTCGTGTTCAGCGTCTTTATTTGTTGTTGTTGGTTTACTTGAACGTTCTTCATGTACAGCGTTTTTAGTTGTTGTTGTTGGTTTACTAGAACATTCTTCATGTACAGTGTTTTTAGTTGTTGTTGATGGTTTACTAGAACATTCTTCATGTACAGTGTTTTTAGTTGTTGTTGATGGTTTACTAGAACATTCTTCGTATACAGTGTTTTTAGTTGTTGTTGGTTTACTAGAACGTTCTTCATGTAGTGTTTTTAGTTGTTGTTGTTGGTTTATTAGAACATTCTTCTGTACAGCGTTTTTAGTTGTTGTTGGTTTACTAGAACATTCTTCGTATACAGTGTTTTTAGTTGTTGTTGTTGGTTTACTAGAACATTATTCGTGTAGTGTTTTTAGTTGTTGTTGTTGGTTTACTAGAACATTCTTCGTGTAGTGTTTTTAGTTGTTGTTGTTGGTTTATTAGAACATTCTTCATGTACATGTTTTTAGTTGTTGTCTTACTAGAACATTCTTCGTATACAGCGTTTTTAGTTGTGGTTGTTGGTTTACTTGAACGTTCTTCATGTGCACTGTTTTTAGTTGTTGTTGTTGGTTTACTAGAACATTCTTCGTGTTCAGCGTCTTTATTTGTTGTTGTTGGTTTACTAGAACATTCTTCATGAACAGTGTTTTTAGTTGTTGTTGTTGGTTTACTAGAACATTCTTCGTGTACAGCGTCTTTATTTGTTGTTGTTGTTGGTTTACTAGAACGTTCTTCACGTACAGCGTCTTTATTTGTTGTTGTTGGTTTACTAGAACATTCTTCACGTACAGTGTTTTTAGTTGTTGTTGTTGTGAGTGAAGAGTGGTTTAAAAATAGAGATGAAGCTATTTAAGATTTGCTTCTTTGTTGAATTTTCGCTAAAAACTACTTGAGGAATATCTGTGCTAGCCGTCCCTAATTTTCGAGTAATAGACTAAAGGGAAAGCAGCTAGTCAACACCACCCACCGCCAACTCTTGGGCTACTCTGTACCAACAAATAGCGTAATTGACCACCACATTATAACGCTTGTAATGCTGAAAGGGCAATCATATTAGATGACGGGTTTCGATCTCGCGACCCGCAATTTGCTAGTCGAGCGTCCTAACCGCCAGGCTATTAGAAGTTGCGTGCGTTTGTTGATTTCGGACTTTTGCACAAAGTTACACAAGAAGGCCTGAAAAAAAATTACAACCGCTAACCAGTCAGTGATCTTTCTTGATTCTTAGACTCAATCAAACCGCTAACCAGTCAGTGATCTTTGTTGATTCTTAGACTGAATTAAACCGCTAACCAGTCAGTGATCTTTGTTGATTCTTAGACTCAATCAAACCGCTAACCAGTCAGTGATCTTTCTTGATTCTTAGACTCAATTAAAATCATACCCCACTGACTGTTACAAGTTTTCTGTTGCCATTACGTGAGTAAATAGTATTCATCACGTATCCCTTGTTAGTGTGCGATATGAATAAACCGTGATAAATGTTTGACTCTAAAGGTGTTTTGTTTTCTTCAGCGATTCATATTCAGGTTTTAAGTGAATTTGCTGACAAAATAAATTTTGTACTTTAAGAGTCATTGAACCTTCACTGCCTGAAATCCCGTTTCCTACGGTAACAAAACGAGATATTAAGTGCGCCTGTTTGAAACTACAGTCTAATCTGCTGTCTTCAGGCTTAGCTTGTCCTGAAAATGCATGGTCGCCGAGAGCTTTCACGGGAGTGATATGTACCCCCCTCTCTCAATCAATTTCCTCTGCCTTCTTCAAGATAACTTTCCCGGCCTCCTCGTGGGTCGGACGTGGTGAAGAATGACTCTTGAATCTGTACTGATTATTCATCAAGTATTTCTGAAATGATATTGAATGAAAGAATCCAGTAATTTGTGCGGGAAAATATTTTACATTTCGAAACCCCTTCATAGTTTCAGAAGACTTTATATTATCTTTCACAATGCGTGACGTAGCTTGAGGCGTGGTGTGAAGTGTACCTTACGACGAGAGTACTAATGAGTAATGCAACGATATAACCTAATTACCTGTCAGTTGACAATTACAACAACCTCTCAACTGTTCACTTGTTAACACTAATTACCCGTCAGTTGACAGTTACAACAACCTCTCAACTGTTCACTTGTTAACACTAATTACCCGTTGTAACTGTCAACTGACAACCTCTCAACTGTTCACTTGTTAACACTAATTACCCGTCAGTTGACAGTTACAACAACCTCTCAACTGTTCACTTGTTAACACTAATTACCCGTCAGTTGACAGTTACAACAACCTCGCAACTGTTCACTTGTTAACACTAATTACCCGTCAGTTGACAGTTACAACAACCTCTCAACTGTTCACTTGTTAACACTTGATTCTTGTTTCTGGGTTTGGGTGGAATATGACTGATATTCTGTTTGTTTTACGTCAGTGTAATTGATAGAGTTCCATGATCAAACGTACCACATTTATAATACCAATACCACCAATTTTCGTATCTTAAAGTCTTGCTCTCCTTATATATTAGTAGTAATTTGCCCCCACCCCCACTCCACCCTGTGACTTAATAGTAAGCCTGAGCATTTATAACGCTAAAACTCGGATTTCGATACTCGCGGTGAGCACAGCTCAGTCCGTGTTGTAGTTTTAGGCTTAACAATAAACAAACGAACAATAATAGCAGTTTAAAACGCACGAGTCGTGAAATTGAGACAGGGAGACATATTCATATAAATCACTGCCGTAGCCAAGAAACCTTTTCGGGGGAGGGGTGGGGTGTGGGGTTGATGTCTTTGTAATAGTGAGATATGTTGAAAACAAGACACGAAAACAAATAATACATTATCTTCTCTGACATTTATGACAGTAGGGTTAGAATTGGGGGGGGGGCGTTAAGCTCAGTAGTATCTTCCAGGTTACGTCTATGACATAAACCCCACCCACTGTTAAATTTAAGGGGTTATGATCGTTAGTACCTTCCGGGTTACGTCTATGACCTAAACCCCACTCACTGTTAAACTTAAGGGGTTATGATCGTTAGTACCTTCCGGGTTACGTCTATGACATAAACCCCATCCACTTTTAAACTTAAGGGGTTATGGTCGTTAGTACCTTCCGGGTTACGTCTATGACATAAACCCCACCCACTGTTAAACTTAAGGGGTTATGATCGTTAGTACCTTCCGGGTTACGTCTATGACATAAACCCCACCCACTGTTAAACTTAAGGGGTTATGATCGTTTTTGGGGGGGTGTTGAAAAGTGTGTAATTAGCTAGATTAAAGAAAAACTGTGAACATTTCTTGGCTCTATATGACGGACTCTCAAAAATAACGTAGAAATTAAATTAAAAGAAAGATTTCCCGTGCTACTTTTTTGTTGCTGGGTTTTTAACTGATTATCAGCACAGTACAGAAGAGGTTTACTCCCATCTGCTTTATTTTGGTCATGTTCAAGCAGCTATAAAATGGATAAATTCGTTTGACACTGCTTTCAACATTTCTCATAGTGTTATATTCAACTTTAAAGCAGTAGGGTGGTCAAGGAGTATTTTCTGGAAAGATTTGTGATTTAAAGCAGTAGGGTGGCCAGGAGTATTTTCTGGAAAGATTTGTGATTTAAAGCAGTAGGGAGGCCAGGAGTATTTTCTGGAAAGATTTGTGATTTAAAGCAGTAGGGTGGCCAGGAGTATTTTCAGGGAAAATTTGTAATTTAAAGC